TCAAACGTGCATTTGTACATCATCCTCATTGAATCCACTTTCTGTTTAAGGGTGCAAACAAGTTGATCGATTTATACAGTATGGTTCTTAAATAGCTAACCAAACAACTGAAGGTATGCAGCATGGCTGACTAATAGCTGCTGCTCTATCTTGGAATGGAATAAAGTATCAACGGTGTGGGTTTTTTTTTTTTTTTTTTACAGCAGTATAAATTAACCAGTACTTTGGAAAGGACAGCGTGTTGGTGCCAAATGCCTGGTCTCAGGACTGCATCAGTGTAACTCTCCTTAGCAAATAAGCTTTTTGTTACAGTAGCATGGACACACCAAGTGCACAGACATTACAAGTCAAGCCTGTGACAACCGTTATGTCAGAGCTAGGTGTCACCATGCACCAATTTGCGACTGCATTATTTTATTCAAATTAAAGAGATGTTATATTTGCCTATTCCTACGCTACAGCATTTTGACCAGGTTTTCTGTCACATTTCTTCATCAGCTTCTACGAATATACAAAGCATTGCAAATCTGGCCAGAGCATGGGGGGAGAGACAACCCAACAAACGCCCATCGGTGATTCACATATTTGAGCCGCTTACAGACCTTAAAAAAAGAGAAGAGTTTAAGGTAATGTTTTTAACAGATCTTTCAATTCTGTTTCTTCAGCCTCCAAGTATTTGACACATAATTAAGATGCATTCAATTACCTGCAACGTCTAACTAGCAAGATGAGACAAGAGCTCACACGCTGTGTGAGTAGCATGTACATTGGGTGGGGGACTGGAGAGGCAACAGGGAGAAGGTGCTGTACACATGCTACAAGAGGAATCTGGATGCTTTTCTTAGGTCCTCATCAAGACAGACATTTGTTTTACAGTGTGACGTTACATATTAACTATACTAGTGAAGACTGAACTCATTTTTGCCTTGATGTTAGGAGTGTAGCTTCCAAATAGAGAAGCTAAAGCTAGACTAGCTAAGTACAAGCTAGTCTTGTATTTATCTTGCAAAATGCTAGACTAGCAATAATCTTTTTAGACCAAAACAGTAAGGTTCTGAAATAGTGTCTGACTACAGGAGGCCAGGGCAAACCTCGCTTTAAAATGGAACACATGCCAGCAGACAGCCTTAGCTTGTTAAACCCTTCTCAGGGATGTACTTTCTGAACTGGTATGCTCTGAGCCCCAAACCCCTTGTCTTATGGGGCTGTCTAGGACCAAGAAGTTAGACCACCAGGTCCTGGTTTGTAGCTCGCGGCATGAGCCCAAAGGCAGGACTCCTTATTCACTTCACTGGATCAAGAGAAGTCAGTCTTATGAACAAACAACATTGTTGTCGAAGTGCAAGGGAAGTTGGAACACTACCATGCAGGGAAGCCATAGCTGACGTTGCCCAGGGAACACATGCATGAAGCAGCAAAGGACTAATTGGATCAAGGCATCAGTTGGAGAGAGTTTGAAGTGAAAGCTTGCACTTAGCCAAATTTCCTTCCCCACTTTCAAAACATCCTGGCCACAGGCTCTGGAATGTTTCCACGGGAAGTCCTGGAAAGGCCAATGGCAGCAGACACATGCAGGTAACAAACATATCCAGCCCTTGCTAAAATCTGGCCCTGTATGAATCACAACTTGTTGCATCACAGGAATGCATCCTACCAGAGGTCTACAGCGAGACAAGAATTGAGCGCTGTGTATCAGATACACTTAAGCAGTGCACGTTTAAGCTGTGCAAAACTGAGATGAAACACATGATCCATCATATACTTACCAGGCCTTTCTCTACATCTTTATTCTTTGAAGCAGCTGGAAAACAAGATAAATGTCTAAGAAACTTTTACAAATTGCAGCAACTTAAGCATAGCTGAATTCACACAAGATTTATATGCAGTAAGCACATTTGTAACACAAACCAAAGCTCTAATACAAGCCACGTAGTTTCCTCAACCTGTCATACATTTCATAAGAGTACTACCCTTCACTTCCACCAACAGCACAAATGCTGTGCCTTCATACAGGGGATGAAGAGTTCCGCTTACTAAAATATAGAACACGAGATGCAGTTTGGCTTTTAAGCCACTCTCTCAGCCTCCCCCCCCTCCAGCTTATGCTTCTCAGCACTTGTGGGCTGTTGCGATACAAAACAAGAAGGCAGAAATTGTCTTTACTGCAATACAATCAGTAAGACATGATTTGAACAAAGTTAATATTCAAAATTCAGAATAATTTGCAATGTTATTCTAACTAAACTAGCTGCAAAACACTTCAATATGCAGTAGTGGAAAGAAAAGTTTCTCAGGAAAACATCTCAATTTCCACTAAAAAAATAAAATTAATTCATGTAGGACTTATTGACCTAACATTCATGTTAAGAGGCTCGAATGATGAAAGGGAAACAATTTGTAGAAAAAATCTCCACAGCCAAACACAGTGAATGAAAGTAGTTAGTGAGCTAACTAGTTGCTACTTCTTGCCCCATAGTTTTGAGCTCACACACAGATTTTTCCTCACTCTTTGGCAATACAATGCAAGTAGATAGCAAAAGTCCTTTTAAGGACCTTACACTTATCTTGCTTTGAAGCAAAGGCATCTATCAGCAAAGTAGGGAAGTTCATAGTTTATGTTTATAAATAATTTTATAACTTTTATGTTAAGTTTATATATTTTATTTACTGACCACAAGCAGTCTCCATTATACAGGAGTTAAGTAACTGAATCACATACTAAGTGAGCTAGATCTTAAACAGGTCCCCTGTAAGGGAACACAAAACCCAGGGATAGCCTTAGTGCATGCTTTGCCTAGTTCTGGAAAATTTATGGATAGTAATTAAGCAGGTACCTTTATTATTCTTCAGCTTTCTAATTGCAAGGAACAGAAACAAACCAACAACCACTAAAATAATCACAATAGCGCAAACAAAAGCTGTGTTTCCTGCAAAGAAAAAAGGAATAAAGTTAGCACTGAAGCAGCCCCCAAACAAGATGTTCTGAAGCACAAGTCTTCCCTGCTGCCCCAGAGCTCAGCCCAAACTCAGCACTGGTACAATGACACAGCTAGCTTGTCCTGGAGAAGGCACTGGGACTATCAGCCAACCCGAACATGCAAGTACTCATTCACGCTGCACATCATTATCTCAGAGGCAGTGGGGGATTCTGTACAGAGCTGCAATACAACTTCTACAATGCTTTCTGAAGATACATTTAAGAAAGGGGGACACAAGTACGCAGAAGATGACAGCAAGCTTCAGGTGCTGTAGCATTGGTGGCATCAGTTCCTTCTTTCTCTAGTCTGGCAGAAGCCATCTACCAGCAGAAGAGAAAGCCACTCCACACACAGCTTCAATGTGTGGAATGTCAAAAACATGAAAGAAATCTTTGCACTACCCATAACATTCAACAGTGTCACTGTTGCAACTTTGAAAACCCTGGCAATACATGTAACTTTTCACCAAGTGAAATTTCAGACGGTTTGTCACTCCAACCCCTTTGAGAATTTATCTCTAACACGTAATTCCCACACCAAAATACAGCAGCTCTCAAACAAGTTTCAACAGTAGTTGAAATCACTGCTTTTACAGACTGCTCTGGTGTTATTAGCCTGAAGCCACAGAACCAACAGACCAAGCCAAGTGGTATTTGTGTACCAGACCTTGATCGGGTAAGCCACATCCTAGGTCCATAGTAGCATTGCAATTCTGCACAATTTCTCTCCCTTCCGGACACCTGAAGTGGACAGCAACACAGGGTTGTACCAACATTTCCAGAGCAATATGCAGCTCTCCCCAAACCCTTTTTTTTTTTTTTTAAGGCAGAGCTTAGACACATGAACAGAACATGCATAAACAGATAACTTCATTAGAAGTGCACTTCTATCAAACCCAAGATAGTACTACAAGATTAAATAGAAGCAAAGCAGATAAAGCTCATGTATGTTAGCCTCTAAGTGGCACGGGGGAAAAAACCCACAGAGTAGATGCATTATTCATGCACGGTTAGTTTCCTTCAACAGTTGGTTCTATCTCCCAAAATTTTGGGCTGGCTGTTAGAAAGCTCATTCAAGTATGTACGTGGGTAAGTAGTAATCTGAGGAGAAGTGTAAGCTTACAGCCATAAGCAACAAGCACAACAATACCAAAATCTGTATCTTTCTAGGTCTCAAGCTCATGTATTTTGACACCTAAAATTTAAATGCATGAGTAATGCCATTTGGTTTCAGGGCAATTATTTACAGCCTAAAAACATGTGTTAGGTATTGGCACAGATTGGGCCACAGCTCTAATGTTCCCTAGAAGGAAAACAGTCACTTGTATTCGTTATCAAACTTACGTTGTACTGCATCTCTGACATATTTCACAGCCCTCGGCAGGGCAGAAATATCCTGGTTTGCACTGGCATTCAGTATCATGCGTCAGAGTACAGGGTCTCAAAATTATCTGATCTAAAAAATAAATTATAAGTTACAAAATAAATAAAAGTTGTGACTGTCTACAACTGTGCAAAAACTATCCTCAGGCCATAAAGGCAATTTACTAATAAGTTCAATATTCTTAATGACTGGAAGTACAAAAAAAACCCCAGAGGACGAGGCTTTCCACATTAAAAAAAAAAGGGGGGGAGGAGGTTAAGGTTTCATCAAAATTGTGGTTGGTACCCTCTTTGCACTGTCTGCACGACAAGCATTCTTCCAAGCCGTTCTCATGGGCAGTGTAACCCTCTCCTTCGGTGCAAGGGACGCATCTTCCTCTCAAATGCGAAGCACTGCAGTGCTGAGCAACGTAAGTACCTGTGGAAGAGGAGAACCAGCCGCGGCAGCAGTCTCAAGGGATCATTGAACGGGCAGAGGACTATAACAGGATGTTATGACACAAAGCCATTTTTGGTAAAAGATCAACCCCTCTTCACATCAGTACAGCACGTGAACTGACAAGGGTCAGGAGGCACGTTCCCATCTTGCAGCTCAGACAGGGAGTGGCAGCAAACAAGGCACCCAGCCAGGCCTCTGCCAGGACACACTGGGCACGGGGATGACTCACTGCAGCCTCCAAGAGTCACCTAGGTGGCCAGCACCATCACCTCTGAAGGAACACAGTGGGCACAGGAAGACTTGCTCATAGCAACCTCTCTTCATCATCTGAATTACCTTTAAATATACCCAATAGCCCTTCGATACTACCTAAGGGCAGGGCACTTGTTGGCACAGAGCTTGTTAACTGTGCATGCATTAAGCAAGAAGGAGAACGCACAGGCAAACTGAAGTGTCACCTATAGATACAGGAATATCAGAATTCCCTTAAGCCTGTTCTTTGTGCTAAATAAAGTTGGTTGTTTTTTTTTTTTTTTAAAAAAAAAGAACACACCAGCACCCAACTTTGAACACTTCATTCTCGACAGCAGGCGGAGCTCTCCTGGCTTGCTGCCAAGGCGCCCCTCCGTCATCACCTATTGCGCAAGGGGCTCTCACTTCAAAATGGAGACTGGCCTCAACAGCACCAAGAAACTACCACAGCTCCAACCAGGCTCATGCTTTCACCGGATGAAGTGTAAAAAAAAAAAAAAAAACAAAAAAAACCCCAAAAAAACCCACCACCCAGTAGTGATGCAGTCATCTCCACAGGTAAAAAACCATGGCCGTCATCAGCTGTAGCTGCCTGAAGTCTTACCTGCTGGACAAGATACGCAGCAGTGACCTTCGTGCAAGTATTCCCCCTCCCAGCAGTCCTCCGCTCGGGATCCAGGCATTATCAGCAGCATAACCTACAGCAGAGACCAACAGGTGCTCGGGTGAGTCACCCCCCCGGGACAGGATAACCATCTCGGGGAGATGTTCCTGCAAAGACTTGAAAACCCATTCAGAAGTTCATGGGAAGCCACAAAGGAAACCCAGACTAATTTCTGCTAAGTGTGCCGCTCACAGCGGTAATTACATTCACAGAGCCGAGGTTAGAGCAGCACCGCGAAGCAGCTGACGGGCCCTAGGCAACCATCGCCCCAGATCCCCGCCTCCGTTTTAAACTTCTGTTTTCTTTTTATTGATTTACTGCAGTTGAGCTTCAGAGGCTTCTGCCTCGCGCAAAGGATTTGTTTCTCCCTCCTCCCATCTTTTTACTTCAGGAGGGGCAGTGTCAGTCTTCCCTCCCGCAAAACGGAGGGAACGCCCCAGAGATCCCATCCAACATTTCCCGTTGGCTCTGTAATCTTTATCAGAAGGAGAGCAGCTGAGTCGTTTACAGACGTAAATTTCGGTAGCCACAGGAGCATTAGAAATTTATACTTTTTTAGGAAACCTGCGGGACACGCACCCCTCGGCAAAGCTCCCGGGGGCGTCGAGGACCGGCAGCCCAGCCTGCCGGCACCGGGAAGCCCGGCGCTTCGCAGGCGGCTCCCGCAGCTCCGCTCTTTCAACTCTCTCCCCGGGGGCTGAAAGTCTTCCCCGTAATCGCGCAGTTTAGAAAACCACCGATTTCACAGTTAGATAACGCGAGGATCATTACAGAGCTCACTCCTGACTTGTAATTTTCTTTTTTCCCGAGAAGAGAAGGAAGGGCGGCGGCGACCGCGCTCGGGAGAGTGGCCGCCTGCCTCCACCCCGAGGGGA